CTATGCTCAGCAGTACGGCTGATATATTGATGATGCGATGACATAAGTTAAATTATCAAATAAACCTATTCAGTTATTTTATTTAATCCAAGCTCTATCAAACAATAAAATACACAGCTAATTGCAATCAGCTATAAAACAATAGTGTCCACACCTGTGTCGTAACTTTAAGATAATTTCTCAGCGTTGAAATGATTTTTTATCGCATTGACAAATCGCTTAATTTACATTTTTATTCGGTCAATAGTTTTTGGTTCCGGTGCAAAAATGTTTGCAATATAAAAAGCTCGACACTTTTTTTTATCGTTGAAGCACTTGACGATAAAAAAAAATGAAATCTTTTGTTTTTAAAACACCGGATAAAATTAATTTAACCTTATAGCCTTACTTTCGTCAGGGTACAATGTGGAGATTTAACTCTGTGATAGTAATTATTATCAAATCAATATATATATAAAAGAAATGTTTGTCGGAATATATTTTGATCTCTACCTTCCTCCCTACAGATAATATTTTCGATTGTGACGAAACTTTTCTGAGTTGATCTACGAACTCCGGCGATGGTATCTAGTCCAAATATTAACTTATATGACCTTTTTCTTGGTATACTTAGTAACTAGATTGAGAATAGACGTTTAGAGATACAAGGCCACAGAAGAAAACAATTATGTTTACTTATAGGTACCGTCAAACTTCTGTTTATTGTCCCAAAAAGGATGTGGAACTAACAAAATGAATCAAACCACTGTTCGAATTTCAAATAGAATGTTTTTTTGAATGCTGTTTCGCAGATGAACTTTGCAACGTCATCGAGTTTGGGGACGGCGAGATCCTAAGGGAGGTCCCCTCAGGATTTCGCCGTCCCCAAACCGAGGTCCGAGTCACAGATACGCCCTCTAGTTGAGCCAACCCACTCTGGTTTGAGTGGTCTTAGAGTCTAGACAGAGAGATCCGACTGGAATGCCTCTAAAGACACTCGCCAATTCTCGGCTTCAGGTCCCCTTAGGATCTCGCCGTCCCCAAACCCGATAACGCTGTAAAGTTCATCTGTGACCAACAGCATACACACTACAAAAAAACCTACTAAATTCATTCTGTGTTCTGCGGTCCACATGATGAATAATTAATCATCAGAAATTCATTCATTTCCTTTACTATGAGCACCGTGATTTAACATATCGCTCGTCTTTATCACGCTCAATTGTCAAACGTGATTAATCCTTACTAATATTATAAAGGCGAAAGTTTGTTTGGATGGATGTATGGATGGATGTTTGTTCCTCTTTCACGCAAAAACTACTAAACGGATTTTAATGAAACTTTACAGTAATGTAGCTTATAGATCAGAATAACACATAGGCTACTTTTATCCCGAAAAAAATGTTAGGTTCCAGAGGGATTTCCAAGAAACTTAGTTAACGCAGACGAAGTCGCGGGCGACCTCTATAATGTATATTATAGTGGTCATACTACAAGGATTACCACATATTCCCTTTTTCATCCATAGAGAAGGACTGTGCTATAGATATATAGATTAACAAGTTGATGATGATGATATTTTTCTTTAGGAAACAAAAGAACTTAAGCAATTCTAACAATTGCGTGCATTATGAAACTTCCTCTCAATATTTTAATCTAGACGGATGGTTAGGCTTTGAATATCCGTACTCAATCGAATTAACTGCTGATTAAGTTGGTAGTTTTTTGTATTGTTTTCCATTAACATCTTCATTTATATTTGTACTAATTATAGTTCTAAAAAGCACCCGTAGCAAAATCGATATTTTGCTATGTTAATATAACTGCCCGGATAGCGGAGGGTGCGGGTTCGAATCGCGTCTGCATAAACATCTAGCAGTTAAATGCATAATAACAAAATATAATTAATATAATTTACTGCAATTGCTATTTCTTCTTTCAAATGTTTAATACTTGAAGAGGTGTTTCGTTCGACATTGTTGATTACCTACAATGCGAAGAGATAGCGCTCCCTTGCAACCTAAGTAATACTAGAAGGAAATTAGACACGGCCATTAGAGCCGCGGTAGCACAATTATTGTTTCCAAACACAAACTTACAAATACATCTGCTAACTTGTTTGTTATTGTTACCAATATGCATTTGTATTTTATGTTTTAGAAAAAATAATCGTGACAAATTCAATACCACTGAACCGATTCAGAGATGATTTTGTTCGGCCAAACCTTATTTATAACTTTTTAATATAAACACCCTGGCACCTTTTTGACGTGTTTTTAAATTTATATTTTTATATACGTCAGTCTGTATGTCTGTTTGACACTCCTCTTTATTACTTGTGTCTGCATATGGCTTGTGTGTTTATTATATAACTCTCATATATTATATAAAATATCTTGTAGCTTATCCACTGTGTGTTATTTTCATTTCTCTTCTAAGTATAATAGATTTTAATGTTAGCGTAGCAGAATCGATACCCAGAAATAGAGAAGCCGTCTCCTACAAATCCATTTATGGCCTTTTTTTCGTAATTAAGTAATAAACTCAAAAACATGCACAAATAATATATTACTTAATTTAAATCTAAGGAAATTTTTTACTAGAAAATATTCCACGCGGTCCAGGCAGCAGACAGGACTCGTTCAGGTCTATGATACACTTATTAAGTGACGATTTCTCACGGAAACCGAAAATCTGCGTACTTTGAATCATTATTTTCACAAGAATTATGAGAAACATTAGAGATCTACAACAAAACGTTATCAGAAGCGCAAGAAATCGACAAAACGTAATTAGGCGATTCGTGTTGTGCTTGTGAATGGCATTCGTCGCCGTAACAAGCAGAATGGGCCATTCATTGGTGCTTTTTAATTGGCCTTATCATAAAGTTGCATCGAGGATAATTACTATATTAAGGGCTCAGGGGACAAAAAGTTTCATGCCATTTTTTCTTAAATTGATTTAAATAAAACAATTTTCAACGGGTTAGTGTCGCCGCACACGGGCCACAGCCACAAAGGCCGCCACGAGAAGCTAGAAACAGCTACTAAAATGGCTGAAGCGCGCGACAGCGGCCGACTAAGGTAAGGGAGAGAGGGGTGGGGAATCGCGCGAGTGACGTGTGGCGGCGTTTTGTATCGGCGCATTAAGTGGCCGGTGCGGGCCACAAGAAGCGAGCAACGACGATTTGTAGCGTGTGGCGGCCACCGGCGTACCGTGTGTGTATTTATTATTTTTTTATATATTATTATTCGGACGACGCATTCCTGCAAAGGATGCGAAACGTCAATAAATAAATAAAATCAGTGCATCTAACCCATTGTAACTTGTTTTATTTAATGAGTGATGTGCGTGAAAACCTAAGAAACAAATAAATTGATTTTTTGGAATCTATGGCAGTTAAAACACTCATTTCATCTTATGGCTATCACAAAAGGGTAAATTCATTGTGTCTTAATCTTTTTACCTACTCCTAGTTCTGTTAGGATGTTTTAAGGAAATATCAGTTACTTTTTGTTATTTTGCAATTTTTATTTAGTGAATTTTACATGTACTTGTAGTATACTATTAAATTTACTTTTAAACGAGCAGATTTTCTGAGTCGCTCATAAAATGCTGTCGTAACTTTAATTACTTGAACTGTAAAATTTTATTAATGTGGCTTAGCCTGTTTTTCCCCTTAGCACTAAGTTATTGTTAACTAGCGGCCGCCCGCGACTTCGTACGCGTGGATTTAGAACTAAAGGTTCACTACTCGTTCCTCGTAGGTGATAGCGTGATAATATGTAGCCTTTATGTTGACCCGACTTCTTAATAATATTCGTGGAATTTGAAGTAAATCCATGCAGTACTTTTTTAAGCTTATCCCGGACATACATACAGAAAAACAGACAAAAACTCTAAAAACCTACATTTTTGGCTTCGGCATCGATTGTAGATCACACCCCAAGTATTCTTTTAAAAAATATTCAATGTACAGTTTTGAGTTTCCTACCATTTTATTTTAAGTGTAGATCACGGAGTTTTTCTATCATGGAGCATACCTGTCGTTAATGTGCAGAGGCCCTTGTTACGGTTTGCACTCTCCTTTAGTGATCCGAAAATCACTTATTTTTTATCTCCATTGCGGGGCGCAGTGTGCGCCAGCGTTAATTATTCGACAATAACGTGCATAATTATTGTCTCAGTTCAGTAAGAAATTAGCATACATCATGAAACATATAATTATGTAGCACAGTTATGTAGATGTACGAGTCATATTCTGAATGCGATCGCATCCATCTCAATAACTTTCACGCGAGCAACGCTTTTACAATGCATTTTAGCGCTGAAATTGATTCGCTATTAAGAATATTACTTTTTAATAAGTGGTCATTATGATTTTCATCTGTTTCTTTCATATGTTTTAAAACATAAGCAGCGATGGAAATATTAGTGAGAGATGAGTCACATAATAATATTATGACTTTTTTACTCAGTCAAACAACTTTTAATGAAAGAATTTTTTTCGTAGTCCAACGTTATCAAAATGTTAAAATATCTACATACCATTAGGTATGAGGTACGGTAGAAAACTTCACACATTAGTGTGAAGTTTAATTTCTATGAATAATGTTATTTGTATTGTGAAAGAGAATTATTTTATCAGTCAATTTTCAATAACAGGAAAAAGATTCCAAACTTTGAATTTTGTTTAAAATGTATAGGTATATTTTTAGGTAGGTTTACTTTTGGTACATTTGGTATTTGAATTAATCAACCGATTAATTCAAATTCCAAATCTACGATGTAAACGACTCTACAAAGTTCATAAAATAACATAAGCATAGTAATAATATTTTTTCTCTTTTATATTATTAAATTACTTTAATAATAATATTTTAATTGCAACTATTTGAAGTAAAAAACAAGAACAAAAAGTATAAAAAAATTTTTTTTAATAACTTTTGATGACAGAGCTTGGAAAATGCTACAATATCGTTTCAATTATGTAATTACTTAATTTGTTAATTAAAACTTACCCTCGGTCCGGTGATGGCGCAGACTGCATGCGCCAACAGCAGTAACGAACAAGCGATGCCTCTCATGCTGCACTCTCAACAATTAGAGCGGCTGAGTAACTATCATCACAACACACCACTGTCTACCACCACAGCTGGGGCGCACAATTCCACAATAATCCAAAATCCACGGGCACCACACTTTACAAAAAAAAAAAACGAAAAAAAATTAATCTGTCAAAATTTTGGCGGCAAAAGTGACAGTTGTTTTTTTTCGCGTGTCTATGGCAGCACGCGACGGCGATTCGAGAGACAGTAGCGCGGGCGGCCTGCAGCGTTCGGTTTTACCACCCCTACTCCGGACGCCCCTACTCGATCTTTCGAAAGGATTCTGAAGCAGATGAGAGAGAGAGAATCGTTTAAAACACTCGTCCGTAATTATGGTGCGGTAATTGGATATTGCATAAAACCTGTTTGGAATTATGATTTTGATGGTGCTCAATGCGACATAGAAAGGGGATGAAATGTGGGCCATATAGATAATGTTTTGTAAAATTAATTAATGTTATTACTGATTAGTAATTTGCCATAACCAGCTCCTTGACCCAGTTAGTCATCCAGTATTTACATGGGGAGTTTAAAAACACTGCTTTTTATCCCTTTTCTTTGTCTATGTGCCCACTTTTTTTAATAAGGTACAACATTCTTATATTTTGTATAGAATTTGGTAAGTAATACGCAGATATGTATTACTTACCAAATTCTAGCAAGCAATTTACCTTGCGAAAAAATATAGTCATAAATTTATTGCTTCATGTTGGTTACATTTCGTTCTTAATAATAGCTGTGGTTATAGAAAACTTTAATATTAATCTTTAAAAATATATGAAACACTGAAGTGCTATATATATGAAAAATTAGAACAGCAGTGCTTGCTATTCTGAATGAATAAAGTCACTTTTCACCTCTGAATTTGCCAGTGTGATTGGAATTTATTTTTTGGTTTCAATTTTAAATCACACCTCGGGTTCCATGAAGATTGTGAAGTTTAAAATGTCTCAAAAGCTTAAATTTTACGAGAAAGTAGGACATAGCGTATTTTTCTCTCAATTGGAGTTTATGTTCACTTCAATGAAGAATCGGTGTAGGTTGGTGAATAGGTTTCAAGGCACCACGGGGTAGGGGATTGGGGTTGAGGCTGGCCAGTTGATGGTTAAAGGACACACTTTTCTTCCGCATCGATATCTAGCGTACTTATTATAGCTATATTTTATTTGTTTGTCAGTTTCATTAACACGCAAAAGCGTGCTGCTAAAGAGCAGCAGTTAGGTATATTATGTTTGTGTCGTAAAAAATATTTGGATGCGGCCTGAAATGCTTTCTAGAAATAACTACAGAGCCCTTTTACAAAATTGCGCCGCTGCCGTACTGATCGGCCCGGCGTAGGTAGATTTGCACTAGTATATATATTGCATTTCACGGGTGATGTTTCGTCTTATAAAATAATTATTAATGAACTAATTATAAAAACATATACATATTTCAGTAGTTCAATGATGGTAGATTAGTTTTATGAAAGTTTATGATAGTAATTCTATGTAATTCAATACCTAAATACGAGCTAAACCTGCATTGTTTTTTGGAAAAACTCACGGAGGTTAGATGTTTATTTTGATAAATAATGAGATGGAAAATCAAAATTCTAATACATTATGTTACAACAAAGATATATTTCTGATGTCGTTGTAATTAATTTGATCTAATTTATTAAACATTATTTAGAGATTCAGGCGTTTGAAGTTGTGCATATTATCGTTTTTTCCGTAAACTAGCTGCGGTAGAACGTAAATATTCTACATTAACTTACAATGAGAAGAATTAATCTACTGTTTATTCCTATTAGAAATAGTAAAAAAATCTAAGGGGGTAAACGAGGCGCTCAAAAATTTCTTTTTTTTTGCAAAAATTGAAAGGGCTCCTAAATAGGTACTTATGTTGATATTCCAATAATTGAAGTTCAATTACATTTTCGTGATAAACAAATCTTCGTTACATTAATATTTTGACGTTGAAGTTTGATAGACAACATGCATGTGCTATAGTAAACTATTAAGTTATAATAAAAATTGAAGTTTAAATTATATCCAACGCAACGTCGCAACGAAATATTACAACCGAAACATTTAATAGGATGTAATTAGCATTTTAATGTCAGTATCTGTTTCTCAATGAGACAAAATTAAAAGAAACCTTATTAAATAGGCAACAATTAACCGACAACATTAGTATTAAACATTGCCCAATCCGTCAATATGAAGCGATTCATTTCAACAGTAAACCGTGTCTACCTTTTTGCAAGTGATTTAAACGAAATCTTATGGTAAAATCATTAATCAAGCGAGATAACTTGGTAGTTTTGAAACGGCTGTAACGTACCATGAACACAATGGGCAGAAAACCTGGCGATTGTGCCATTTGCGGTGAAAAATAATGGCGGCGTGTGTCTCGGGTAGTGCTGCCAGATCGCTCTGTCGGGAAAATGGGAAAACGCCATTTAAAAAAAACGACGGGTTGCACTCCGGGAGTGCCGGCAGAAGTGAAAACTTGAATATTAACGTTGTGCATTTTTGATATTTTGGAATGGTTAGGGAATAATTTTACACGAATTGCTTTGATTATCAGTATAAAAGTACTATCATGTATGTGGTAGAATACAATATTTATTTATTGCGCTATCGTACACAAACATTACAGTTTATATTACATTAAAAAAGTTTATCTCTCAGAAAAATCAACTTACATGAATCACGTTTAAGCGCACTTAGCGACATCTATTGTAAAGAAATCAACTTACATGAATCACATTTAAGAGCACCTAGCGACATCTATTGTAAAAAATGCATTTTCTTTGCAATAAAGCCACGTGGACGTCCTAGATAGAGACTTATTATGTTTCGTCCAATATATTGAAAGTCAACAACCTTTCCAATTTTATCGTGTGTCATGATGCGATCAGCCCACGTGTTTAACCTGACGCGTATTTAACATTTTTTACTTTAACAAAATAAGTGTACAACGCCGCTAAAGAAGTTTTCACTTCAAAAAGCGTTTATGTTACTGGAAATTACCTCCATATAAACATGTTACTGTACCTCCTGTACTCCTCCTTCCTGTACCTGTACCTCCATATTACTGTACTTTCAAAAACAATTAACACCTAAAAACATTGGAAGAATCTGTAACAAATGTTTTTGAATCAATACGTTTTCGTTAAACAAATTTTCTGATATTCGGAAATTTATTTCATGAAAATGTGTCAGAATGTATGAATATGTTTTACCACCGCTGTGTAGAGAATTGCTATATTAACATGTATCACAAGAATAAATTGGACATTCCTCGAAACTCCATTAGAATTGGCGACCCGATCGTCGAGCCTAATTGGGGTAGGTGCTAGCGTTTTACACCATTTAATTAAATGCATGTTGCAACAGGGTTATCTCTGTGCATCAGCACGGGTATTGTTCAGCTTTTTGTCTGATACCATTTGAAGGGAATGAATGGATAGTTCACGCGGAACGAGTCACGATGACGTCTAAGATTTCGGTCACACATGAACGTATGAATTATTGCATACATTAAGGGCGCTTTCAATTTATGCGTTTCTTGACGGCCTGCTGCGGTGCCGAAGCGGTGTGTTTGTCGTACAGCGTACGGACGATCCTTTTTTTTTACACAAAACGCGCGGTGCGGCAACAGTGCGGCCGGTACCGCGAACGCCCGACAACAGTTGGAATACCGTTCTGCGACGAGGTGCCTTGAGATGGTCTATCCTACTTGCAGATAATATTATTTTTGGTCATCCATATCATGTTAAACTTTACGCCTGACCATTGCTAAAATAACCCATTTGACAAGTTTTAGAAAGTGATCTCACGTAATTGACTAATGATTATGGAATCCGTAAAAAGTGGATATTCATCATTCTGTTGTGTGTTTTAGTAAAAATAACCAAATCAAAAACTCTATTTTCAAGTTGCCGCGAAAACGGTTTCCTGGACAATATGGCGTTTTACTAGTGTGTGACGTCACACGACTGTTATTCAAACGTCAAACGATACAGTAAAATGTCAGTTTAACCGGAAGTTTACTTGCGTGTGACGTCATTTTAGGTTCCGCCAATCCCCAGCGTTTTCACGTGACAATAGATAAGAAAACTATTATCTTTTTCGTGGGTTTTTAGTAAAATTATGAATATTTTTTTGTAAAGCATAGTAAAAACCCCTGCCAATATTCATTCTAAACACAGATGCTAACAATTGGCACTTTATTTTTAATACTATCAAATACCCTATTTTAGGATTTGAGTGCAATATTGTGAGAGCAACAAAAACCATTAAGTAAGGCACAATTATTTAGTTTAGTAAAAATACTATTAGAGAAGTCGCTCCTTTGGGCGTGGGAGTTATCGATTGTTAATGCATCAGGGACCAAAGGATAACCTTTATCAAGGACCAACGGATAAGCTGCATTCAGAAAGACGGAGGACTTTTTTTAATTATTTTTTTCATTTATTGATTTACCAACATTTGTATACACCGAAAATAGTAACGCAAACATTTTGAGTTGTTTAAAGTTCAAGTGTAACAAATACTTATACGTAAATACATTATGCAATTAAACAAAATACAATCGGAAAATTAGCTTAATCTAAATCCAAACAATACAATATTTTTAGGTACGATTTTGTAACAAATATAAACTAGACTGAAGCTTATATTTTTTTTTGCTGCCTGGTACGCGTGGATTTTTTTCTAGCTATAGGTCTAGTATCTTCTTTAGACTGAAGCTTGTCAAGTGAGTCCCAGAAAATATCAAGCTGAACATTTTTTTTGTGTATTCATTAACCAGCTTGCATAGTCTTGGATTAAATAGAGGAGATGGAATACCGTTCTGCGACGAGGTGCTTTAAGAGGGTCTATGCTACTTCATCAACAGCCTATCCTAGTCCACTGCTGGACATAGGCCTCTCCAATTGCACGCCACTCAGATCGATCCTACTTGCAGATAATAATATTTTTGGACATCCATATCATGTTAAACTTTACGCCTGACCATTGCTAAAATTGCTTTGGCATGCATGCCGGACTGTACGCGTTCACGTTTGCGCCATTGACCTCTTCATGCTAAAAATTCTCAGTCATAAAAAGCATAATTATATAGAACACATCCTACTAGCCTATTGTCTATTGATATTTCAAGTTGCCCCTTCCGTTGTCTTCAATCTACTAGGGAAAGTTGACAGCTGGCGCATTAGTGATTTCTCTCCGCTCCCAGTCCAGCATGATCTGACAACGATCGTAGATATTCTTCGTGTTGTAGGTACTCGTTCCATCTTCGCCCACGCTACACTTCCAATAACGATCGCTCAAGTCTGACCAAAGCTTCGAAGTTTGAAAGCATTGCCTAATACCGTGTCGCTTGATTTATTTATCTTCGTTGACAGATGTATACACGGACACTCAATCAACTTAAAAGGCTACGTTAAAAGATCTTGTGAATAGCGCAGGAACAGGTCAAGAGC